CACCCGTTTCGTTCTAGCGCTGGATAAAATTGCTATCTACTGCGCGTGCACGGACCCCGCCACTGTTTCGCAACTGCGGGAGGACACTCGTTCGCCAGAGGCCTATATCCAACCTTGTCCCATTCTATGAACAGACCTAATTACGAAGCTGGTATCGCGTCAGCATTTCGGTAGAACAACGTGCTGTTGATGCAGAACCCCCTGGTTCGAACCAAGGTTAGGTCGTGGGCCTCTTCCGACTTTTTTTTCCTTTATTTTTTTCTCGATTTCTTTGGGGTAGGGGCAGGTACAGCCGGCAGGACCCTGGGATGCTGCTGCTTGCTGCTTCGATTCCACGCTGTCTGTATTTCTTTCCACAAAATTGCATGCTCACCAGTCTTTTTAGACCTTGTTCTTGTTCTTGGTCCTCAACAGAGCATCCTTGTCACCGGAATACTGATAATTTCTTCATCGGCAGTGAGCCCTTTTTGATTCCCATACACCCTACACCCTGCCAAAAAAGCACCGCACAACAGAAGGTGTGATTCAACGGGAATGAGACCTGTGGCGAAAGGTATCGCGTCCGAATATTCAACCATCTAGCAGAGTGGTTCCGCGGAAGTCCCTTGTTCGAACCAAGGTTGGGTCATAAGTCGCAAATAAAGGAGCCGCTTGTTTTGTTTCTGAAAAAGGGAGGAATCATTCAGCAAGAATAAGATCCAGTGGAACAAGCCTCTGTCGCGCATGAAATCGATGATGGATGTAGTGAAAGCTTCATAGCCGGAGGTCTGGTTAAATCTAGATCTTTGAACCTTTCAAAAGTTTCTCATGACATATGAGTAGATCTCGCACTGCCGAAAGAGGGAAGGTCGGGATGAACAGTCGCTTAATATAATGACGCGTCGCGTCCGTTGACACGTGCTGGGAAAATCGCTCTCAGATCATGTAAGCGGCGACTCGGAGCGCTTTTCCTCTGCCACTGCTTTTTCGCGAGCCTCCGTGGAGAGGATTTGCGCGCAGGTTCCGAGTCAAGTTGACACGGCCTTTATCTCTCGGAAGTAATCCCGATGCCGACATCGCCCTCAGCGGATCCAATATTGTGAGTCAACTTCTCTCTTTTCTCTCTCTTTTATGCTAGCTAGTACCCGGAACGCCATTATAAACCGTTGAACATTTGGACCGTGAGAGCCAGCAAGCCGAACCGAGCCGCTCTTGTTCCATATGGAACAAGATATCTGATTCTTGTCGCCTGCGGCGCAGCTTTCCTTGAGCTTTCCCCACACACCGATGTCTCTCCGATTTTTGGCGTTCGTCGCGATATTGCTCGTTGGATCTCCTGCCCACGCCTCGCAGACCCCCTTCAGCAGCCCTAAAGACTTTGCGGGCGACCAGGCCTTTGCTCCCACGGGAACACTCGACATCCTCTCCGAGACCTCATTCACGGCGCTTGCACATCCCGAGTTTCCCCAGTATGGTGTGCGTATCAAGAAAAGCAAGTTTTGCGATGAGAGCGTGAAGTGCGGACACCCGGTCAGCGATGCGATGAGACGGCTGACTCGAGATACAGCGCCTACACAGGATATATCGACATCCAGGCCCGCCACTTGTTCTTCTACTTTTTCGAGAGCAGGAGTGATCCAGATAAGGACGACGTGATATTCTGGACTAACGGAGGTTTCTGCCTATCTTCGGCAATTACTCACAACTCGCTCATGCACTCTCGCAGGACCGGGATGCTCTTCTGGGGTCGGATTATTCATGGAGCTAGGTACGAATTGCTTGGCTTGATGCATTCTCATTTTGACAATCACTCTGACCAGGACCTTGCCGAGTGGTAAACGCGGACAACGGGACAGTTTTCCATCCCGAATCGTGGAACTCGAACGCCAACATATTCTTCATTGACCAGCCCATCGGTGTTGGGTTCTCGTATGCTGAATATGGCGAGACTGTGGTGCGTATTCTACGTCGAAGAAGTTTAGATGGAACTCCAATTTTCCAGAGTACTACGGAGGAAGCCGCGAAGGACATCGCTGCCTTTGTAGCCATTTTCTTCGCACACTTCACCCAGTTCCAAGGACGCGGGTTCCACATGGGGGGTGAATCGTACGGCGTGCGTTCTCAGATTTCCGTGAGGAAATATATTAGGCGACTGAATTTACGTCTATTTCCAGGGTCGATATCTTCCCGTCTTTGCTGCTGCGGTGTACGACCAAAACCCGCGCCTCGTGAAAGCGGGTCTGCCACCAATCAACCTCACATCCGTCATGATTGGTATGCCTTTATTGAGTTATGGTTGGTCTTTACACCTCGTTCTAGGAAACGGCATGACAGATGTGCCCACCTTGATTCCGTCCTGGTAAGCTTCAGAGTACAACCCACAAATTTCATGCAGTAATTCTCCCAGGTATGAAATGCAGTGCTCCCGAGCATCTCTCCCGCCTGTTCAAGATATCAAGTCAGTTTCTTGTGACATTCTCCGCCCGTCTCTACTCACCCGGATGCAGAACATGTGTTCAAATGAAAGCGCGAGTACGTGCTTCGCTAAGAAAATTATAACGGGTTGACCCGTCGCTCATAGCTCCCACGATGCACAAAATGGGTCAAAGAGTCATGCCAGGACGTGTTCGACCTTATCAATTGCCAGGCGGCCCTCGAATTCTGCTCTGTTTCAATTCTGATACCATACTTCACCTCCGGTTTGTGTCGAGTTTCTGCGTCTTAATCTTTCCTCGCGCTCATCAAATAATCAATCCATTGGCAGGCATCAACCCGTACGACCTCTCCAAGAAATGCGAGGGCGGTGACTTGGGTCTATGCTACGACGAGATCGAGTGCGCCTCATCCCTCTCAGCTTTGCTCTGCGCGGTGGTCGCTGACGGATCGTAGCGAGATAGTAAAATACCTCAACCAGAAGGATGTGCAAGACTTGCTCGGCGTGGAAGTGTCTACGTATATCTCATGCTCGGACACCGTCAGGCTCGACTTCATCGGGACGCTTGACCTGATGAAGGGCGCCACGGAGTACGTCGGTGCGCTCCTCGAGCGCGATGTACGTGTGCTCATCTATGTCGGCACGTACGACTGGGTGTGCAACTGGGTCGGGAACGAGGCCTGGACGCTTGGCCTGGAATGGAGCGGCCAGGGGGAGTTCGGGGCGCAGTCGTTGCGGGAGTGGACCGTCGACGGCAAGCCGGCGGGGAAAACGCGAGAAGCCAAGGGGCTGACGTTCGCTACCGTCCATGCTGCAGGCCATCTGGTGCGTTGAACTTATTCGTCACGTATTTCTCACCTCACCACCAATATTTCAGGTGCCGTACGATAAGCCGAAAGAGTCCCTGAAGATGGTGAATCGTTGGATCGCCGGGCAGCCGTTGTAGGCTCTGGCGAATGAAGCAATGATTGTTTATCTGGGAGACATTAATTCCTTTTTTCTCAAAAAAATGTTGTTCCAGTTCATGTTCAAAAGGTCGCATTCGCACTATGACCCAGCCTGGATTCGAACCAGTGCCGTTGTCCACTGAATCGCACCTCATGTCGCGTGGTGCTTTTACGCGAGTATGGAAAAAAACCAGGGTTTGCTCTGGCAATTTGCCTAACCAAAGGATGTACCCAGTCATTATCTCTGTGAGCGTAGCAAAAAAAATTCGGTCGTTGAACTTGAATAATCGGATCAATCGCTCATAGAGGGAGCTGTTGAGGTGTGTTTGTCCACCTCGCTTTTTCGCAAGTGCCCATGTCTCAAATCGCGAAGTGCCCTTCCACCAGCTCCATCGACTTCTCCGATGTCTCGACGCCCTCTGGTAACGCGGAGGGAGGCGTCTCGAGCTTCTCCATAAGCTCTGAGTCAACCGTCAGCTCGGACGCTCTCAGCAACGACCCCTATCATTCAATCGCAACTGAATATTATAGAAGAAAGGTTGGTCAACCAACGACGGCACACATATCTCACCTCATTCGGCTTCAGGCGATTCGGGACGCAGTCCTTTTCGTTTATCCCCCAGGGTGGTTTTCAAATATGTCTAAATAGCGATATGCTCTAATGAAACTAAATTTCACTCTCTGTGTTACTGTAAGACCCGAGTGCCGTCAAGGAAGACTATTTCTTGGTCCACGAAGCGGCGTATCGTCCAGCTCGGGAAGAATTCGACGCTTGGTGTGAAGTCAATAAGGAGGCCTTAGGTGAGTTTTGACCCGACTGTGGTTGCTTCGATTCATGTTCTGTGTAGAGGAATGGATGGAGGCAGAACCACTACTCGAAGAAGATGATGACATCTACGAGGGGGAGGTGGAGTACTGGTCGGAGGAGGAGGGGGGGGGGGGGAGGAGTCGGAGGGGAGGAGTCGGAGGAGGAGCAACCTCGGGCCAGCATTTAGTCTATAGTAAGCACTCGAGTCTTGCTCCTCCCCCTTGTCATGCCTTAATGTTAGAGATTCCAGTTGTTGCACAAGCAAAATCGATTTCAAATTCGTTATGACTAGTCGGGCGACGAGAACACCTTGTCTCCTCCTAGCCGCCTAGCTGCGCATCCCGGACCAAATACTTTAGGGAAAGGAAGAAATTGAGGTCCTGGGAGGCTATACATTCGTAAAAGAACTAACTGTTGGTACTCGTCCACACTCATGTCCTGTTGTTCATATTCAAGATGGGTTCCATTCGTCACATGACCCAGCCTGGATCCGAACCAGGGCCTTCCGTTGAAACCTGGACAACTATAATAGCACGAGGACGCGAAACCTTTCGCCACCAGGTCTCATTCCCACCGGACGAGCCTGCGTGGCGTGTGGTACTATGACCCGCGCTCAGATCCACGAAATGAGGTGAATCATGACCTAGCCCTGTAGCTTATAGTGGAGGTTGTAGTCACACCAAAAAAACTGCCCCACCGCACGGTATGTAAATTAGGATTTTCGTCGAGACTGTCGACACGAAACCAAAGATCAGCACTGTAGTTTATCAGTCTACTTGCTCTAAGTTCATCGATGAGCAAAAAAAAAAAAAAGACAAAGATCACAGACACATGACCTAGCCTGGATTCGAACCAGGGAATTCCAGACTACCAATTTTGACTTCTCAGATGTTGCGGACGCGATGCCTTTCGCCACTAGGCCTCTTTATTCACATCGAGCCAGACCTTGTGCCATGCTACATTTTCGCCACAAATCCCGGGACGTACGGAAACAACAGGAGGCTCAGCGAATCCGAGCGCACTCAGCCCATCGATGCCGCAGTACGACATCAGCACCATTGATGGTGAAGAATAGTGAGCCAGCAATTCTCTTCAGAGTGAAAAAGAAGAAGGTGGATGCTCCATGACCTAGCCTGGATTCGAACCAGGATTCTTTCCACAAAGCACTGGAGTTCCTATCTAGATGTTGCAGACGCGATACCTTCCACCATTAGGTCTTATTCCTTTCGCTAACGAACGACTCCGTAGGTTACCCAGCCCTCGGGCGCGGTCCCAAGTTGGGTTTAATTTCATGTAAGTCATTCCCCGCTGTGGAAAAATTAGAGCTTACCTGAGCTCGACACTGCGCTCCAGAAAGACTTCCGTTATCGCTTGCCCCGCTTTATTGCTATCGGTGTCTCTGTGTTGTGGCTCCATTCTACCGAGAAATGATTTTTGGTTCTTCGTATATGTGCGAATACTTATCTTATGTCAACATTGTCAGTGATGCAGGAATGATGTGTGCGACGTACAGCATCAACGACTTGGTCTGTCTACTCTGTAAATTACCGGAATTGCTTCTGGCTGGACTTCAGTAAATTATAATATCTCCCGATTAAATGTACTGTATACTAGTTGCACGTACACTTGCGGAAGCAAAATCGATGAATATCTCAATTTCTAAGTGGTTTCACAAGGATCCGAGCATACAGATCAATTGCAATCCGTCTGTTACATAGGCTACATATAAGGTTTTGCCTCAAACTGACCATTCCCTGTCGAACGACAACAAAACCTTTGTTGATGCTTATTGTCCGAGTAGGATTGATCATTGAATTTTGATTCCCGGAGGCGTGTTTGATCGAGGCCCCTCCAAATCTCATACATAGGCCGAGATGCATCCTATCTATATCCTAAATGCACCAGAAGTTGACGATGTCCCTGGAAAGATGGATATACTGTACCGGTTTGTATGGTAGCAACCGCGCCGGAGGCGTTACGAAAATTTTAGGTCATGGTCTAGCAACCGAGCCGGAGTTAGGTGCTATTTTGGCCAACTTAGGGGACTCCGAACAATGTCATCCTCAAATGGCAACCGTGCAGGCCACTGCACGCCATGGACAATGCAGCCTCATTTCTCATTCAAGGACCTATTTACTTGCTTGTACCAATGCTGAGGCAATTCTTTCTCCTCTAGCTCTGATACCATAGCTTCGTCGAAACCTTCTGGACCCAAATTGCCACTGGGGATTCCTAGAGACCTCAACACTCGTGCTAGACATTTGTCTAAGCTTCTAAAACACTTGCCGACATCGCTTCCACTTGATCCTCCTGATGAGGATTCCACCTACCAGTTCTACCTTAATCTTGAGGATCTTCGAAAATATTTGGGCATACAATGATAACGGTGTCTCATGGAATGCAGGGAATTTAGCAGATGAAACTTTTAACACTTTGTAGTTTAACAAACTTCTTTTTGGAATTTTTTGACTGCCTTTGTGGGTGGAAAAAAATTGACATTAAAACCTGTCTCAAGCGTAGCAACCGGCCCTCCGTTACGCGTTACGAAGCGGTATTTGTTACGCGTTACGCTGCTACCATACAAACCGGTACAGTATAAACCATTTTTCCCGGCTTATGAAAATAGGCAATTTTGGTGGGGAAAACCGACATTTTCGACGATTGTGAGAGCTGTAGGGCAGCTACAAGCCTGAAATTTGGTCTGGGTATATTTATAGGATAGATATCTAGATTCAACATATCACAATCTCACACCCTATTTATGCCCATATCTTGCCTATGATCAGGGAGAAAACAGCTAAAAATCGTAAATTCAGCAACTTTTAAATTATTTAAGAAATACACAAGGCATCAAACTCCCGGATTTTTAGCTCAGATATTGTAGAACACATCCCAAAGAATGTATCAAGTCCAGGCTCTCGGAAATTGGTTGAGTATTGGAGGAGAAATTTGTGTTTGTCCGAGTACTAGGTAAGTCCGGACCAGTGAGGGGGGATAGTACATGTAAAATTTGCGTAGAATGTGACTTCGTTCGGAAAACTAAAATAATTACATCTCTCAGTGTTGAATTCGACCAGTGCATCAATGTGTCCAAATCTTATTTTACAGCTGTAAAGCGCCGCGAGCGCTAGGGCTCCATTTGGTTGCCATTACACCAGAGGCAAAAAGCCACACATGTGGCACCCACATGCTTAACACGCATGTGGACTGCATGCTGGTGTGACCTGTCACAAAGGTGCTAATCACCTTTGTGGCATCCTTGTTTTTTGGGGGCGACTCAAAGAAAAACAAAGATGCCACAAAGGTGATTAGCACCTTTGTGACAGGTCACACCAGCATGCAGTCCACATGCGTGTTAAGCATGTGGGTGCCACATGTGTGGCTTTTTGCCCCCGGTGTTACTTAGCGGTACTTCGGAAGTGCTCCCCACCAGATTTAAATGTTGTTACTTTCGGTGTTTAGGAAGCTGACAATTTATATTTGGTTGCTATGTTACTTTCTAAATCACTGTTTGCTGTTACTTGGCTGCGTGTTTATGTACTTCATCCATCACCCACCTCGTCGCGTCTCTCTTGCCTTCCTCCCTCACCCTACACCTCTTCTAACACCATTCCCAAGTCCAAAAACACCAACGACATGTCATCCGATGCCGGCGACAACGGCGGATCACCCAAAAAGGGACATACATGCGATAAATGGACAGCTGAGATGCTGGCCATCCTTATCTGTGTTCTCCTCGACGAAAAGAAGTTGGGCCGTCAGGCCGAGTCCGGTTGGACCTCAGAAAGCTATAAAAAAGTTGTAGTTGCTCTGAAGGCTGCTGGTATCTCGCGCACTTCCAAACAAGTCAAATCTTGTTGGACTCAGGTGTGTAATTTGAGTTCAAGTTTTTATTTATTTCTGGTGCATCGACCAGATAAAGGGCCAGTATAAAATCATGAAGGGGATGAATTCTCTCTCTGGCTTTGGGTTTTATGCCTGCATGAAGACCCTCACCGCAACTGAAGAAGTTTGGACAGCTTATCTAGGTGCGAGTCTGTTGTTAGCTTCTTTTTTTTTCACGTCCAACTGATACTGGTACAGAAGCATCTGTAACAATTGAGTCTCATTTCCCCACACTCTCTTTAATTTCCTTTGATCCCTGACTTGACACGACTGCTGTCGCCAAGATACCACACTCCTTGATTAATTTCTCCTTTACTTCACTTGGCAACCCCTATTTTCCATAGTATATAGAGTCTGATGTCCGTAGTTAGTCCTTTGGTCAATAGTATCACTACGCCACTCACCTTGTTGGACCGACCAACCAACATCTTCTTGTGTTGGAACTAGCTGCCAACTCATGAGCCAGCTGCTCTCCATCACAGCATCCCAAACACAAGACATTCAGGGACCGCCCTTTCATCCATTACGACAACATGGCCTCATGTGCGATGACATGATGGCCACAGGTGAGGATGCCTTCTCCAACAGCATTTTGGGTGGCAGTCAGGCACTCGACCCTGCTTTGGATGACAGCCTTGGATCTGGAGGTGTGGATGGCAAGAATAATGATAACGGTGATGAGGACAACAATGAGATGAGCGTGGGGTCAGAAATATATTGGTGCATCTGCTACATTTTTGTTTCTTCAATTTGGGCTAAATCTGGTTATCAGAATAGCTCTGTGTGTCTACCTTGAGCACTCCCCAGTCCAAGTCCCTCAAGAATTTCGCGAGCGTCAGCAGCCAGAAGGTCAGCTTGAAGCGTGCTTGTCACAGGCAAATGTCCAGCACCACCATCCTTGCAGGGCTGACCACTTCTGTCGAGGCCCTGGCAGCATCTTTCCAGGATGAGTCACAGTCCAAGTCTCTGTCCCATTCCCCTGCTCACTGCAGCAAGGTGTGAAATGTGATGCTTGCGGATGAGGGAGTTGATCTCAATGACTCTGGGTTTGCTGCTGCGATCGAGGTCTTCAGCAGATCAAAATTTGCTGACCAATATCTCAAATTTCCAGAGGATCCCAAGGCTGCTCATAGTGTATGGCTCAAGACTGCTATCAGGCACACCATGATGATGCAATTAGCCTTCAGAATATGTAGTTACCTTGCCTGACGTTGTAACTCTGTCTGGTAGCTATCCTACATCACCTTTGCAGTATCATCACATCTTGCATCTGCCCATTCAGTTTCCTGTGGTGAAATTCCACCAGACAATTCTTCTGGGTCCACATCTCCCTGAGGTGCACCCTCTATCCCATTGTCATCCATTTCTATATCCGATTTGGAATTGTAATCAGCATCGTCTGGGTCGTGGATTTGTATAAAATTGTGAATAATTCTGCATGCCATGATAATACAGGCTTGCATGCGAACAGAAAAGTTTGATGGCTGCCAAAACATCTTGAACTTCTTTTTTGTTGCACCAAAAGCCTGCTCGATGATATGATACAAGTCAGCATGCTGCAGATTGAATAGCTCTTCATAGTCTTGTGGTCTATTTAACATCTCAGCAAAAATTGCCACAATCTAACAAATCACACAGACTCTTCGCCTGCTTCTCCCCACTCTCGAAGATGATATTGCTTGCCTTGAAATGGGACCAGAAGAGCATCACAGGACAGATAACCAGCATCTGCTAGAAAGTACTTCCCCACTGGAATTGCAAGGTCTGATTGGCAGGCCACATTAAAAATTGTGCTATCAGAAGCACTCCCTTCCCATCCTGTGAGCAAGTAAATATACAGCTGCTCGAAATTGACTGCAGCCTGGACTTTTGTGAAGAGAAAACCCTTGTGATTACAAAAACGGCCTTTTTGGATGTGGTCTGGAGGTGATGTGCCAATCTGTGTACCGTCTAGTGCACCCTGAGCATCATCAAAAAAATGGGGAGAATTTGGGATTGTTGAAGATGTGTGGTGATGTCTGGGTATCCTGGGTAGGC